CATTATACCTAGCAGTTCGGCCTCTGGGCTTTTTCTGGTCTTTTGCCAGTTTTCGTAACTCCATTATCATGATGGTGTCACCTGGCAGTGTTTAGGAAAACTTGGTCGTACTTTTTGTAAAATGTTCCACTATCTGCACTTGTCTGATTATCATGTCATCATGGTTCCACTGGACTTATGCTGAGGGTTCTGGAGAGGAAGAGCGCAAGGCTATCATGTCATCAGGTTTAATCCCGTTGTCTCAGGGGGTCTTGCTATCAACACATCCCAGCTGCTGACTTTGATTCCTCAGTCAGCTGAGGAAGTATCTGTTAGACCCCCTACCACAGTTAGTTTTCTGTTTTTCCTTTTTGTGCTAGTTTAAGGATTTATTTTTATTTATTTATGTGTGTGTCTGTGTGAGTGTTGCTAAGCGTGTGCAGGGGCCTGAAGAGGCCAGAGAGGGTGTTGGGTCACCCGGGACTGGGACTGGAGTTACAGTCGGTCACATAGACATAGGTGCTAAGAACTGGGTTCTCTGTAAGAGCAGCCAGTGCACTGAGCCTCTGAGCCATGTCTCCTGTACCTTCCCATGTCAGTTTAAATACCTCCTTTCTTATTTTATGTGGACAAAAAAGATATATTTCCTACCTTTCTTTTCAGAAGAGGGAAGACAAGTAACAGAACGAGTGTTGATAATCAGGTTGTTTTTTTCATTGGTGGGGAACCCACGTGCGGTAGTTCAAATGCAATTACAATAATCCCAAATGGGGTGCCACTGGTGGGAGTTGTGGCTTTGTGGAGTGGGTATGGCCTTGTTGGAGAAGTGTTTCACTGTGGGGTGGGCTTTGAGGTTTCTATGCTCAGGATACTACCCAATGTGTCAGTCAATTTCCTGTTGCCTGCAAGATATGGGACTCTCAGCACTATGTCTGCCTGCATGCCTCCATGCTCCCCACCGTGATGATGATGATGGAAGGAACCTCTGAAATTGTAAACTAGCCTCCTCAGTTAAACGTTTTTCCTTATAAGAGTTTATCCGGCCATGGTGTCTCTTCACAGCAATAGAAACCCCAACGAAGACACTCAGGTGTTAAGAGAAGCTTTTCCTTTGCTAGCCACTTTGGTATATCCCCCGCCAGCCGCCTGGGCTCTGCCACATTCTAGTCCCCAAATAATCACACAAGACGCTGTATTAATTATGAAGCTGTTGGCCTTGCTTGTCTCTTACTGGCTAGCTCTGCTTTAGGTAATTACCCCATAATTGTTAGTCTAAGTATGTCTCTTACCGGAGAGGTTTCCGGGCTTCCATCTCGACTCTCCTGTGTTTCTCCTTCCCAGAATCCTCCTGGACTCCTAGTCCCTCCCATCTAGATTCCCTATTGGCCAGACAGTGCTTTATTGACAAATGCACAGGCAAATAACAGGACTTCCCCAACACCCAGGCCTCATCCATACTTGGGCTGTACTACCTTATCAGCCAGACCAAGAACCACGTTCAAGAGCCTAAAGCAGGCAATGCAGAGGTGTGGAGCCCAGACTTCCCCAACATCTCCTCTTTTCTGTTTAAACAAAAGAAAGGTCTTAACTTTAACATAGTCAAATTATATACAACAGCTATCATGCAAGAACACAGTTACAACATTTTGTCTATCAACATTTAGCAAGATTTAAAGAAAATATCATCTATCTCATTCTTGTGAGTCCAAAGTCCTATATGTAGTTTATCTCTTATCATAACTAAGGAAAACTATAATTATAACTATCTGTCTTCAACTCCATCAAAGACCACAGAAGGATAATATACAATCACTAGGATTGACAGAGACATCTTACTGCCTGGACAGTCATCCAAAGTTCCTCTGTAACATTGGGGCATCCATCTTCAGCCCATAAGGCCACAATGTGTCTGGAAGACTTCTCAGCAAAGCAGGAAATTTCAAACTGTCCATCTGCATCAGCAGTCTGTCAGTCATTTTTCTGTGTCCTGCAGAAAGTCCCATAGACTCTTCCATGAAGCAGGAACCCTGTAAGACTGAGTTTAGAAGTCACTTTCCTGTGGGTCCTGCATGTCCAGTTTATACAGCAACAGTCAGTCTAGGCAAGAGCAGTTTCTTGCCCAAATGGCTAATCTTGCCATGTTGAAAGCAAACTCCATAACGAGTTTCTTCGATGCCCATCTTGCTCTCAGACATAATTGGTGCTGCCAGGAGCAGACATTTCTCATTGTCAAGAAAAACCCTAAACTATTTTAAATGCCATTTTCTGAAGGTCTTTGAAAGGTTTGAAGACTGTTTATCTATCTCAAATATATTTCTGTATATCTAGAAAACCTAACTTACCTAACTATAAATTCTAACTATTATAAGTAACTATCTATAATCTGCATTCAATTATGCATTACATTGTAAAAGATCAGTATAAGCACAATACTTAATCAAGAGGAGAAATATACATATCACAAAATTGACCTTGAATTTGTATCAATAAATGAAAAACAATACCCATACCATAATTCCCCTTTTTACCATTAAAAGGAGATTGGCTGTGATCATTAACCAATTATAAACAATCCCATTTAAATGAAAACAAAGATTTATAAACAAGATGGGAATTGGGATGTCGCTCATTCCAAACTGCTTCGTGCTGGAAGGGGGCGCTGTTCATACCATGGGGATCATGACAAAACTCAGAAACCTGTATAAGTCCTTATTTTCAGAGTCTGTAAAGCTGCATCATCTTAGCTGTTTCAATTTTTGGAACATCTGGTCCACTGCTTCCGGGGGTCTTGGTTCGTCAAACCACAGAAGTCTGGAAGGAATCCTCAGCTTTTCATTTTCTGTGGAAACATAAGCAAAATCTCCTTTCCCAAGTAACATATCCTTATACTTAAATTTTGAAGTCAAGGCATTTTTAAAAGATAGAAGTTGGATTAATTCAGCAGCATTTATAATCAAGTGTACTTTAGCAGCTGTTCCTTCTTGAGCAATCAAAAAACTGAAAAACGCAATAGCATACAGTATCCAGACTCTCTGTGTATTTTCCATCTTTGCGTGGCTTATTTATTTATTATTACTTTATTTCTTTCACTTTTATTTCTTTTTCTCTGAGACAGGGTTTCTCTTTGGAAATCTGCCTGCCTCTGCCTCTGGAGTAAATCCTACCGGCGTGTGCCACCACAGCGCCGGCTTTTGTATTTATTTACCACTTTGCCGTTTCATTTTCTCTCTTAATCTCACGTATATTTTTAAACACACTGTAAACCTTTAGAGATTTTCTTCATCCAAGTCTGACTTTACTGTAAATCTTTATGTTTTTCTGGCCACGTGTCTTATCTGTAAAATCGCGGCTGTTTTAAACTGCCGGTTTTTCCGTCAAGATGGCGGGCGTAAGCGTGACTTCAGCTTACCGCCTCAGTCCATGGTGACCTCCAGCAAAAGCTGCCACTTCCAGCTGTACGTACACACCTTTCAATCGTTAGCAGAGTCTCTTAAAACAACCTTGTAGGTTTTTTTTTTTTTTATGTCGAGTCAGGAAGACTCCAGTAAGCGAGCCGCGTGAATCTCGGCTTGTGGCTAGCAAAACAGAGCACACCTGAGAAAAATGCTGCTACCAAAATCTGTGCTTCTCTCTGTTCTTCTGTTTCTAAAATTCCTTGAAAGCTTTTGTTGTTTTGTGTGGAAGTTCAATCCCACTCCTGACAACCATTATGTTAAGAGAAGCTTTTTCTTTGAGAGGAGCCTTCCCGCCAGCCTGGTTCTAGAGCCGCATCAGTCCCAAATAAACACACAGGAGGCTATATTAATTATGAAGCTGTTGGCCTTGCTTCTCTCTTACTGGCTAGCTCTGCTTTAAGTAATTACCCCATAATTGTTAGTCTAAGTATGTCTCTTACCGGAGAGGTTTCCGGGCTTCCATCTCGACTCTCCTGTGTTTCTCCTTCCCAGAATCCTCCTGGACTCCTAGTCCCTCCCATCTAGATTCCCTATTGTCCAGACAGTGCTTTATTGACAAATGCACAGGCAAATAACAGGACTTCCCCAACACCCAGGCCTCATCCATACTTGGGCTGTACTACCTTATCAGCCAGACCAAGAACCACGTTCAAGAGCCTAAAGCAGGCAATGCATTGGTGTGGAGCCCAGTCCCAGTGGATGCATCTACAAAACTCTCCCACACCCGAGGCCCGGCAACTCTGTGGAAGAGGAAGAGGATTGGAACAACTATAAGAACCAGAGGATTCAGGAGTTTACTGTGGGACTGGTCTCCTTGACATGTCAAATGCCACACCCATAAATTGTCACCGGCATGACTGTCCAATGGGAGCTGAACAAAGACAGCAACAATAGACACACAGCAGTGGACAGGGCAAAGACCACGAGGCCTCAACCCTTCACAAAGAACCACAGGACACTAAGGGAACTTGAGTCTGCAGAAACAGTCTTCTTTCAGGGAAGAGCACACCATTCTAAAAATGTACATGCAAGTAGTATTATACAGGCCAAGCAGGCTGCATTCAAGAGTATTATGTGTGTTTTCATACACACATGTGCATGACACAGCAATTAATAGACACACAAGGCACTGAATCTCAAAGAGAGCAAGAATGGGAATAAAGGAGGGTATAGAGGGAGGGAAGGGAAGGGGAAAATGATGTAGTTAAATTATAGTCTCGAAAACAAAAGACAGAAGGAAAAGGCATAGACATGTGACCTTAACGTCTTAGGCTTTCACTTACCAGAATGTGTAAGTTGGGATGGATGGTCAGAGGCGTCTCCTCAAGAGCTCATGATACAGTGTGTGCAGAGCACTTAGTGCCTGGAGCAGCTGGCACTCAGGTGTCGGACACTCCAAGTGCTAACGTGACAGCACCGATTGTGATCACCATGCATTGCTTTTGAGGGCTCTGCTGAGTTAATCCTTAGCATCCCTAGGGAAAGTCCTAAACTAGGGTATTCTTCCGCAACAGTGTTCTAGTTTGCTTTTCTACTGCTATGATAAAACACTGACCAGAGGCAACACAGTGAAGAAAGAGTTTATTTCATCTTACAGCTTACAGTTCATGATGCAGGGAGCCAAGGCGGGAACTCAACCAGGGCAGGAACCTGGAGGCGGGAACCAAAGAAGAGGCCGTGGAGGAAACTACTTACAGTCTTGCTCTCCATAGCTGCTTAGAACTGCTTTCTTCCTTTCTTTTTAAATTTAGTTCAGAAACAATCATATTTTACATATCAATCCTAGTTCCCTCTCCCTCCCATCCTCCCATGCTCCCCACCGACCCCCTATTCCATCCAGCACCCCATCCAATTGCCAAGTCTGCTTTCTTATACAACTCAGGGCCACCTGCTTGGGTGGCCCTGCCCACAGTGGGCTGGGTCTTTCTACCTCAGTTGTCAATCAAGAAGATGTCCCAGTGACTAACCTGTAGGTTAGTCTGCAGAATAGAGGCATTTTCTCAGTGGAGCTTTCTTCTTCCCCATGACCCTGGTTTCTGTCAAGTTGACTGTATGCTAGCAAGCACAAAAAGCAATCTGGACTTAGTTTTGTGGAGACCATTGGGCCTCCTGGTTTGTGCAGTTATCCGTATAACACTTCCCGAGGTTCTTCCTACATCCTGAGATCTGTGTTTGAATCAACAATGTGGCTTCAGGTGGAGTTGGCTGGGAGGCACAGCTAGGGTCAGTTACCCGGCACCCTGCAGATAAAGTCTGAGTTAAGAATGGTTTCCTAACTAAAGTGTTAAATAGCTTCCAAAGTCATAGAAGCAAGAAGACCCTTTGACAGATGCAATTCAGGTTCCTCTAAACCCATCTTCATAAAGTCAAAGCAACTCAACCAGCTAAAGTGCCTCTGTCTTCCCTTCTTAGTTGGTGTCTCTAAAGCTGAACCCTGAAATAATGCTAAGAGTTCATCCCAGACTGTAGAACTCCTTAGAAACACACTTAGGTATCTTGTCCCTGGCATTTCCCACATTGCCAATCCTTTGTGTTTTAGTCTTTGTATTTTATTTGTATAACTTGTCTTCTTGTATTTGAGTTTTTAATTTTCCTTATTTTTGAGAATAATCCAGCCTCAAACTCATGATCATTCTGGCTGGGCCTCCAAAGTGCTGGGATTGCTGGCATGCCAACTGCTTTGGGAGTTTTGATAACAAAGTTAGAACCCTTGGAATTTGGCTTGCTAGCTTTTCTTTGAGAACTGGGTTTAAAGTGCATTGCTCCAGTAAGGAGCTGCCAGCAGGACTTGGCACGATATTGGCACACCATGATCTTAGCTAAATGTGCAGCTCAGGTGTTCACAGCATGAGGGTCACTGGGTGTTGGACCATCACCCACAGGAAGGCTGGTCTACGGTGATGGCGTCTCTGGAAGGAGACAGCTGTCTTTCCCCTGTGTTCTCTAGAACCAAGGCCATCACTGGTGACCACTCCCAACTCTTCTAAGCAAACTTCCTATGGGTTACTTTGTGCCAGGGACTGATCTGGATCCTGTCCCCTAAAGCAGTATCCTGTGCTCATCCTGTTTCAGCATGTGCTTCCAGCAAAGGATGCTGTGGAAAAGTTGAGTGGTTCCTCAAAATCAACAACAATGAAACCAAGTGAAGAAACTCATGTGTGGCTCACAGAACCTAAGCTGTCCACACCTTATCTTTCCAGGAAAAATTTATGGAGGAGCTAGGGCAGGATGTTGGTGTTGGGGTCAATACACACATCAGGGATGCACTTGCTTCTGGGTCTTCTTCCCTCTGGGTAGTCCGGTCGCTTTCCTGTCTTCCCATCTTGGTGACCAGGAATTTCTCTTATCTGCCACCAGCTCAGACACTCGTCTTGGAGGAGGTTTGTGCTTTGGTGTGAGCGGAGTTTCTCTCAACATCTAGTTGCTGTGAATAATGAGCAGGAACTCCTCTCCTTGACTTCCTATTGTTCAAGCCCGGGAGTTACTGCAGGGGCTGCTCAAGGAAGGACAGCTGTGGTCTGTGAAACAGTTTTATAAAGCCTGATGTAATGATTATTGACTGAATGGCTGAGTGTAGGAAGGAATAGAACACCTTGGGATCGCAAGGCCTCTCTCTCAGTCTGCAGAGGCAAAAACCACACAACACTCCCTAGGAGTTCACCTTGTGGGCTGTCTGTGAGTGAGTGAGTGTCAGTGTGTGTGTGTGTGTGTGTGTGTGTGTGTGTGTGTGTGTGTGTGTGTAGGCATATCTCCCCCTGCTTATGCATTGTGGTCATAACCATCCCATTTCTTGACTAGACAGTAATCTTCCTGTCAGTGTAACCAATGGCAGCTTCAGGCTTTCATATTCTTCACCCTGAGCTGTCTGAGCTAGGAGAGGCAGGCCCTTCTATAGCAGTAACGCAGGTACCCCCCTTTCCCCTATGTGAAGAGCCACGTGGGTAAGGTTCCCTCAATCCCGGGCCAAGGTCTCCTTAGGCTGTGGGGAATTTTGCTGGCAGGAAAAGCTGCAGACCCAGGCCAAGTGATGGCAGCTTCTCCTCAGGCCACCTTTACTATATTCTTAGTCTGCAACTCAGGTCTGCTCTCACACTTATTTATAAGGACAGATAGCTCCAAATTACGCTTTATTCTTAGGGATTTGGGACCCTTGGCTCCCACAAGGTCTATAACACCAACGGCGGCTTTGTTGTGCACACAGCTCTCATAGCAACCAAATGTCGAGGCTGCCAATGAAGCTGACTCCGGTTTATCCCTCAACTGTTTAATTAATGACCCCAAGGAACAAAGGTAGGAATGCTCCAGGAGGTGCGGAGTTGGGGGGTGGGGACGGCGGGCTGGGATCAGGACTATGATCAGATCTGGACCTTGAGATAGAGAGAGGGTCAGCAAGGTCTTCCCTGTGGAAAGCCCCTGAGGACTGGAAGAGTTCAACTCTCACCTCCCAGCAGGTTACAGATTTCCACTCGCTGGAGGCCCCGGCTGGCATCCTTGTGGTGCTAGGGCACTGTGGAATCACGAGATGATGCAGTCATGGTGCACAGAGGGGTTCTCCGACATTCGGCGGCACAGTGGAGAGGACGGCCCAGCCGTGGGTCTTGAGAGACTAACCAGCAAGTGCTCACAAGTCAAAGCTAAAGTGATGCCTGCTGTTGAGTCACTGAGGACAATGGGACTATTGTTTGAAAATGAATCATAAGAACGCGGCCCCCCGCAGTCACCCGAGTTTCTCATCCGGAGGCACCTAACGCGGGCCGTGGATGGGAATTGTCACAGAGAAGGAGGAGCCGGAGTCTTCCTCCCCTCCCCCACTCCTCTGCACCCCACAGGCCTCCCGTTTCTCCAGCCTCATCCTCACTAAAGCTCACCCTCATCCCTACCCCATTCCACCCTCTCCCAGCCCCTCCCACTGCCAGGCTTCCTTCCCACAGTTCTCAGCTGCATCCCCATCTATCCCAGCCCTTAGGCTGACCCTATCCCTCCCCATCCTCCCCCTTACTCAGCCCTCTCCCCCACCTCATCCCGCACAACCCTGCCTTCACCCAATCCTCCTGCACCCTATCCTCGCCCCATCCCATTTCTCCCCATTTAATCCTCCTCTTGTATCACTGAAATAAGGCAAAAAAAAAATCGAAACAAAACAAAAACCCAGAACCAATACTAATGTCACCTTCAAATGAACTGAGACTTAGAAACTAACTAAATTCACGTTTGTGTCTTTTTCAGAACAAGAGTCACAGGGTGCCACTGGCCTGGCTGGCTTCCATGGAGTTCCAGGGGGCTTTTCTTCTTCCACAGGATGAGCAGGGTGGGATGGGAGATGGGGGCCAGGGGTGCCTTTTCAAACAGAAGCCGCCAGTGGTTCCACACTCCACTCCTCGGGGGAAGTCAGGTGTGACTCCCTGGATGTGAGTGTCCTGTGCTTTCCTGGGGACACACCCAATCGCACGTCTTGATAACAGTGCAAACTAAACAGCCCTGACCTCCCCATTCAGCCAGGAGCAGTGTGTTAGTTACTCTCTTGCTGTGAGCAAATGCAGCTCACGGTTGGAGGGGAAGTGGTTTCTCATGGCAGGGCAGGGGCAGCCATGGCAGCAGAGAGGGCGGGACTTCTCACATCTCCATGCTTCCCCATGGAGAGAGCAGGGAATGCGGGCCACAGGGCCTCAACTTCCCTTTTGTTCAGGGTGGGATCTCAACCCATGGGGGCGGTACCAGCCGCATGCAGGGTGACCCCCACTTTAAGTTAAATTTCTCTGGAAAGAACTTATAGACACACTCTAAAGTGTGCCGTATGAATGCTTCGGGTGTCTCCCGATGCAGTCAAATTGACAACCCCAATGAACCATTTCGGACAAAGGTCTGTGGGACACACAAGGCACATATGGGGAATGCTGCCTGGCGGGGATTTCCAGTTTGAATGTTTATGCACCTACACAGGTGGTCATGTCCGGGGCAGGGCTGGAAAACAAACCCCTGAGAAAATATTCTGCACCATTCAGCATCAGGAAAAGCCAATACACAAAGTTACGGTATGCTTTTATGGCAGTCGGAAAGCCGTGGTCAGCTAATGTGGACTGTCTGATACCTTATCTCCACCCCCACTGACCTTGGGACTCTGTGCTGTAATTTTGAGCATAAACTAGCATGTGCCCCATGGGAAGTCCTGGTCTATTGGAAAAATGTGAAGGCTGCAGTTGGGAGCAATGGTGCCTGGATTCTGGGTAATAGCTTCATGTCTGTATACGCCAGAGGAATGATTAATGGTAGGTGTCTGGAAGATAAAAATTGCATAATGGAAGCTTAAAGGTCAAGGTGCATTCCAGTGTAGTCATCACTCCTAACCATCCCTTGCATTATCTACCTGCCTACAGCTTAAGTGTGGACTGTACCTGGGGAAGCTAAGCTGTAAAAACACTGTTATGTACATACACACTAGTTTCCCGAGGTGACAGCCAAATGCTTGAGTTTTTGACAGTGTCATTTTTTAGTGTCCGCATCTCCTGGGGAGTGGAGCTTGGGGGATCAGGCTGACCTGCTCCTGGAAGGCATCAGTGGGGATCCTGGATGGGCAGGTGCTGGGTCTGCACCACCCTGCAGCTCTGCTGACTTCCTGTAGGTGATTCAGTGACCAGGGGTGCCATTCACCTTCCTGTCCTGCCTCTTTTGCATTTCCTTTGCAAACCCCAAGTAAATCCTAAGGTTCTTTTGCTTGAAATCATTGAGGAATGGTGGACTGGGGAGAGGGCTCAGGCCTTAAAGCAGTCATCCTCGGAGTACAAGGACCTGGATAGCGTAGTTCCCATAAGAAGAAAATGTTGGATGTGCTGGTGCAACGTTGTAACCCTAGCTAGTCCTAGGGAGGTGGAGACTGTTGGAGCCCTGGGAATCAAAGCCCAGCCAGCCTAGTCTACTTGGCTACTTTTGGGCCAGTGAGGAGAAATCCTGTATCAAAATACAAGGTGAATGCCAGTGAAGAGTAATGTTGACCTCTGGCTTACACACACACACACACACACACACACACACACACACACACACACACACACACTGTATAAATGGATAATAAGCAGGTGTAAATGGTGTGGCTATCACAGACTACCTGGAAGACAGCCCCCCCTCCCAAAGTGCAGCCATGATTAAAATTACAAACCTGCGGTGGATGGATATGGGCCTTTGGACAGTGCCCATTTTTAAACAGGGTTTCTCTGTGTAACGGCTCTGGGTGCCCTAGAACTTGCTTTGTAGACCAAGCTGGGCTTGAACTCACAGAGATCCACTTACCTCTGCCTCCCGAGTGCTGGGAGGCACCTTAAAATTTTTAGTTTATTAATTTATGTTTCATTTAGTGTGTGTGTGTGTGTGTGTGTGTGTGTGTGTGTGTGTGTGTGTGTTAGGGCATTTGCAGGTGAGAGAAGAACTCAGAATTTGATTCATTCCTTCCATGACTTCTGGCTTCAGTTGGAACATGAGTTATCAAGCTTGACAGCAGATGCCTTTCATTTCTGAGTCATCTCACCAGCCTTGTGTCATCAACTCTTTAATGGACTCCTTCGGAGAGCCATGACAAGGCCGAGTGCTTGACCATTGACCTACCTGACAGGAACAAGTCAGTTGTTGTTATATTTTGCTTTTACCATGATAATGACTTAATAGTAAATATTGATGTCATGACACCCATGATAATGACTTAACAGTAAATATTGATGTCATGAAACCCAAAGGGCCCACCTTGGGTGAGAGGTGACCGAGTTAGGGGGTATAGATAGCACAACCACAAAAGTCTATTTCCATTTTATTAAAAATACCAAAACAACAAAACAAACAAATGGTCTTCCTGGAAGTCACAATCCTCATGTCAAGTTCTTTAAAACTTGATATATCTTTTGACCATACATCAGAACACAGTCGTGCTTATTTACGTAATAGTCTTTAATATTTCCAACTCTCATCCTTGATGTTTCGTCCCCAGCCCAGGACCAGACGAGCTGTAGATGCTCTCCCAGCACACTGAGAAGATGATGAGGCAAAAACGGAATCTGCATTTCCTCTCAGAAGAGGACTCCTTTAAAGCTGGGCTTGGGCTTCCTTTCCTTCCAGTTTCTTGTGTATTTAAAGAGATATAAAGTGCGTAAGAGAAGTAGGGTAGGTGCCCAGGGTGGGGGAAGAAGGAGACGAACAAGCAGACCACAAACAGAAAATAACACACTGCCCTAACTGTACGCGGGGGGGCCTCTAGACCGCACAACAACCACATCTCCACACATGAGAGTGAACCAAACTCCGTGTCCAAAATGGAAACCACCTGGAGTTGGTTCTTGTGATTTGTGGGTCAGAGGGCAAAGAAGTTGAGGAAGGCCCGGCTCATGCCCCCAGACTATGAGTCGAGGAGAAACGCAGGGGTGAGACCATCCTACACTTGACCCATGGGCCTGCCAAAGTGACCTCGTGGCCAAGCTCAATAAATACCAACTGTGGAGTTTCACAGGGGAAGCACACAATTCATGTTAGGGAGGAAAATTAAAGCCACTGGATTCTCCCTTTGCTCATGGGGATGGTGATGCTGGAGACTGACTTATGACGTCATGCTAGGTTATTTCAGACTTGCAAATCCACTCTTTGAGGAATTGTTTTTTAAAAATCACAATGTGTTACACAGAGAGTTAAAAAAATGCCCTTACTCCCTGCCCCTGCTTTTAAATTGATAATTGCTGGTTCTGGTCTGCAGGTTACAAAAGTGCTTGCCACATTTGGTACTGTAGATACTCAAGAGACTTCCCTGCAAATGAGAAAATTCTTCCTTCCACCTGATGAGAGTTTTGAAGAACCCCAGGCCCCCCACCCCTGGGAATGGATGGAATGTAACTTCACAATACAAAATGACTTCAGGTTTTCTAAGTGTTATGGATATCCCACTATAAAAATAGCGCTCCCTCCCCACCCTCCTCTAACTCTCCTCCTAATTAGAAAATGGTACAATCATTTCCTGCCAGTAATTTGGAAGCAGGAAGTAAGGTGATTCTGTACACGTAAAACCACTTCAGTATTTCACACCATTTACATTCATACAGATGAAATCCTTTTATTGATGAGGGGGTGGAGCTAAGTCAAACAGACCTGTGCTGATAATTCTGCACGCATCCCAGCTAGGGGCATCTTCCCAGACAGCAACAGAACACAGCGATGTTTTAAAACAGGACTGCTTTGAGGTCTCCCACATTTCTTTAGAGTTCATGACATTCTCTCCTCATTCGATAAGTGTTAACCAAGTTCTCCGCTATTGAGGGAACGGTATGGATGAAAAGTAAGACACACATTGTTGAATAACAAATTTGCTGAGATAATCTAGGTGTTGTTCCAGCAGAGGGCGCTCTGTCCCCTACAATAACATCCTACAGCACTGAAGATACCAACACAAATTTGGAGTGCTAAGCCCACACACCTTCCTTCACCTGTTCTATCCCTACAGGCAACAATTTGGTATTTTTTTCAAAGAGCAGGATATACTACAGGTAGCTAACTCTTACACATGAAAATTCTTTGGCTATTTAAAATCTTCACATTCTCAAAGAAAAAGAACAATATTCTGAGTTCAGTATAAGTGGTACATTTGTCTGAAAGTTTTCAAGGAAAAGGGAGGTTGAACACTAGAGATTAAAGAAGGTATGTCACCAAGGCCACAGTTCATTTACTTTAGAATTGTGGATTTAGCAAGACGAAGCAGCAGCCCTCAAAAATCAAAGCCACCGAGGGTCCATCTTGATTTGTTTGTGAGAACGTCAGGAGAAAATTTAGCTAGTTCATGGAAGAACGTGTGTCCATTTGGGTGGTGGTCAGTCTTTGGCTTAGTTAACACATATGGTCCACATCGTTCCCGATTCCCCAAGGTCCTTGCTGGCCTAAGGATGGCAAACCCATAGACTTCCTATCCAGCAGTGACTTTGGGTAACTCAGCTTTCTCTCTGTTCCCTGGAGATTTTTCTGAGCCAGAGAGCCAACAGCTCTGCAGTGACTGTGGACATCAATAGTGCCACTGGGGTTCATGAAAAGGCCACTCTATTATTAAGGACAAGGGAGAGAGAGAGAGAGAGAGAGAGAGAGAGAGAGAGAGAGAGAGAGAGAGAGAGAGAGAGAGAGAGAGAGACTGAGGCAGGCTCTTACAGGACAAGGATTTGATGTGATTAAAGGACTTGGTAATTAAAAATCCACATCTAGGGTCTGCACTAACTTCATTAGTTCAGGGACAACACCATGTCACCAAAAGGCTGGTGGGCAAAGTGACTTCCTATCTAACAGACTTTAAACACCACTGTCCCTACTGGTGTTGGGAGCAGAATAGAGCCAGAAGAGCTATGTACCAATGAGAAACTGAGACCTGATTTTCAGAATTAACTTATTTTCAGGCTATTCCAATCTTCTCTGTAACTCAAGAGTGTTTTAACTCATGGATACTGAATTCTTAAACACCTCCTCTCCCTGGGACTCACTGATAAGCTCTGAACCCAGGGCAGGGGCATTTTTTCCCAGGGAGACTTTCCACTTAGCAAGCCTTGCTTTGGCCTGGGGTCCTACCTCCTCACGGATGTCCTTCAGGGCACTGGTTACCTTCCCTGTAAAATGCAGTCACCACCCTGCTCCTCGGCTCCCAGGGATGAAGATGTTACTCAAGAAAGCATCAGCCTGCCCTCTGAAGAAAAGAGCTGTGCCTTGCTCCTCCTTCACAGGGTTAAGTAGTCCATGGATCATGTCTGAGAAGTGAGCCCTGATGCTCGCCGATGTGGAGCTCGGGCGGATGGCAGACATAGGAGCCACAGATCCTGCTCCAGGGTTGTGTGAACTAGAAGGCTGTAGAGTCTGACCATGGGAGACAGCAGGTCTCCACAGCGTTCTGGGACTGTAACCTTGTTAGAGTTTAGCCAGACCCAGGAAAGGGAGCAGCAGCAAGTGGCCATTACTGGGAATTCCTTGTAGGAAATAGGAAGAAAAGGAAATGAGAGGGAAGATAGGGAAGGTGTATGCACGTATGAGCACATGTGTGCACATACACACACACACACACACACACACACACACACACACACACACAAACCAGGCTGTCAAAAACACAGGAAAGCACAAAAGAAACACAGGATGTTAAGACTGCTACAGGACATCACCTCAGTGGCCTCCGTACTGCAGAAGGCTAGGTCCTGTCTTCATATGGGGTGTGACACTATTTCCTAAAATTTCTGAAAGCTTTTATTTGGTAATTTTCATGGTCAGCTGAGGCTATTCATTCAGTGGACAACTAGATGCCATTAAATTCTTATGTTCTATAGTTTATTTCATACCAACTAAGTTTCTAACAATGAATCCTAGTCAGACTATCTGCCATCCTTTATGATTCTGGAAGTGTGGTAGCTCCAGGGATGTCTGCACTGTAACAGAAATGGCTACTGGACACAGCCACTCTTAATAGAACCATAGCAAGACCTATGAACTCCCACAGATGAGAGAAATACAAAGCAAAAATAATAATACAAAACTTTCTTTGGACAGAGACTTGTTTCCATGGGCAGGATGTTACATGCAGTGTTGAGTTAGCTAGGTACCTCTGTTACATTTATTATCTATTTTCTCTACACTGCTTCTCTCCCTTGGTTTTGTGTGACCAGAAGTGACATTGAAGGCACAACCAAACCCTAGGGGCTAGTCTGTATTCAAATGCTGTATTTATGAGGCATTGGCTCTTCCAGGATGACTGAGCACATTGGAGGAAGCCGTCCTGAAAGCAACTCTGAAGGAATTCAAGGCTCTTTTCCTCCCACAGCCTATGCATGATGGGTGATGCTCAACAGAAAGTGGCTGGCCATTCCCCGAGCTGGTGGTCACAAGCCTCCAAGATTCCCCTCATCGCAAGGCTGCATGCTCGTATATCTGGGGTCAGTATGCAGTTCCCTGGGCCTCTCCTCAGATCTCTGACTTTTAGTTCTCTAGAACTGGGCAGCCCCAAGGAGGAAGAACTAGGGGTTGAGGTAAATTCTCTTTGGCTAAGTGTCACACATGAGTCTCAAGGGCTCTTAGAAGTGAGGGGTACAATTTCAGTTAAGCACCAAATCAACATGGTTGGTTGGCCTGTTGTTGTTAACAAACAACTTGTCAGAGAAGTAGCAGTTGATGATAGTGGAAACTATTGCTTGGAAAGTTCAAGCAGAAAATTGGTAAAGGCTATTTGAAGCAATATTCATTATGAACCAAGTGTACCCCTGGCCCTCTCCTTAGGTGGCTTGGATGGAGTCTTGCCCTCCCTGTGACAGCTGAGGTCATCATCTCTGTTCTCTCCGTTCAGAGCCAGGAATACCTGTGAGGATTCTGGAGTGTACCTCTGGGGCTGTGCTGTCCAGCTGGTGGCCACTAGGCACACGTGGCTACCGAAAGCTCAAGCTGTGGCTAGTAAAAACTGAGATGTCTTGTGGGTATAAAAGACACAATGGATGTAGAAGATATATTAAAAAGGAGAAGAAAATGTTTCCTTAACACTTTCCACATCAATTGCATGTTGAAACAATAATATTGGGTTAAATAAAAATATTAGTAAATTATTTTCACCTGTTTCTCCTTTGCTTCTTAAAATGTGGGTAATGGAAATTTTAAAAAATATATATGTGACTTGGGCTGTATTTCTGTTGGATGGAATTGGTGCAGAAACTTGCTACCGAAAACAGCATGCCTGTAAATACCTACTCGGTTTGCATTTCTGGGCTGCACAGCCATGCGTGGATCACTGGGCCCCCAGGTCAGAGTCTGTTGTAGAAGGTACCAGAAAGGCTATGGTAAGGAGGATGGACCTGTTGGACCCTTCATCATCCATTCAGCATCCTATAGGTCATCAGGTCAGGGGCTTGCTGTGTAATCAGATGTTTACCTGACCGTTGGCTGGAAAACACCCTCCAAACACACAGGGAAAAGCCCACCAACCCCTTTTCTCCTTGGACATGGCATATAATTTATATTTCCTTTGCTGTTGAATTGCCCTAGGTTTTTTTTTTGACAATATCAAAACTCGCTGCATGACACAACTGTTAACAAACAGCTCCCACTGGAGTAGTGCAAAAGACAGGGAACCGTGGGCCGCACCTGCTAGATCCCTCGTTTTCCAGAGCCTGCTTCCGTGCTCGCCTGCATACCCCCTTGCCATTGATATTCTCAGCCGTTGGAGGAGGCTGGAATTAATTATGGGACGTGCAGGACCCGAGACAGAAGAGTTCCTTTCTGACGGTTGCTCTGTTCTCCTTGCTGTGCTGTGTGCTCAGACACCGCCAGACAGGAACTCATTAAAGGGAGCTAGGAAAAGCCATGGAGAACTCCGCTGCCCCGGACTCAAAATTCCAGTGGGCAGCAAGGATTTGCAGCTTAACCAAGCCCTGCTTGAATGAGTATTAAGCGTAATGAGGTGGAAAAGCCCAAACCATATCCATAAATACAGCTCAGTGGGAAGAGCTTGTGTCCCTGGTTAATCCCTTCTCTGTGTGACCTTGCCAGCTGCCAGAGATGACAAGGAGAGCCTCCTGGTCACCCGGTGTATCACCAAACTGTCCACTTGGGAAACAGAACACTTTCCTCATTGTTTCAAACAAACAAACAAACAAACAATCAAAAAGAACAAAATCACAAATCACTTTATAGCACAGGTGGAGTTTGATAGTCATTGGTTACTTTTTTTTCCTTCTTATCTTATTTCTTTCTCACAACTCAGCAATTGCCCCACGATATACTTTTTGGGTCACACCTTATCAAATCATATCCCATCTTGGTACCAGGATTGCTCTCAGGAACCCCGAGCTGCAAACTGCTAAGGATTTATTTAGAGCTTTCCATGTCGGCTGGTGAGGAACTGAACCGGAAGTAAGCTCACACCTGGATGCCAGTGACCTAAAAAATATGAGTGCATCTTTTCTATAGCCTGGTCCCACAGAACTCACTTACATAGTTGGTAAACTGCTGAGGCCTTGGGGATAACCAGGAGGACATGCATCTTCCTTGTTCTGGGAAGATGGGATATCGGGTTTTTTTTTTAACTAGGCTTATAGTTCCTCATACTCTGAGCACTGGCCTTCGTGCCCTGCGGGGGACTTCTGATTTTAGACTAGGACCCTGAAGTCTGAGGAACCACCCTTCTCCCTGATAGTCCTCTCTGCGATGGTGGCCCCGGACGGAGCATGGCAAGAGGGGGCCCGCATGATGTAGGTGAACACAACCAGCGAGCAACAGACTCAGCAGATTCAGAACTTAGTGTCGCTGTCTCGTGAAGACCCACTCAGAGGATGGCGTTAGACATTTGATGAACTCTGGCCTTCCACCACTTACTTCATGGTGCTGGGGCAATTCTCGAAGTCATGCACACTTCACTCCGAGACCTCATTACCAGAATACCTTAGAGGTGCCGTGCAAACCAATCGTTGGAGCAGCAGCCAGGACCTCTAAACAGACCTCTCCGCACATGGGCTGGAGTGAATCAAAGGGAAAACGAAGGAACAGATGTGAACTACACGTCATCTTTAAAAAGAAATCACCAGGGGAATGAAGCCATCTTCTCCGAACAGGAACAGGAAGATGGGAGAAGCTGAAGGAAGCCTTACTCCTCCCAGTCTGCAAGCCGCACCTCCAGCAGCGTGATGCGCAGACGCGGAGGTATCCAGCTTTCAGCTTCCACACCAAGGCCACGGTTGTTGCAGAGATGGGAACCCGCATCCTGACTCTGGAAACTTTGGATATTGCTTTCAGTTACCACCCTTGAACAGAGTGCCCTGGGGCTGCCACGATGGGCTGAAGACTATGTATCCAGTTCAAGTCCCGGAGCATGCTTCCTTCCGGCCCCCCCTGGGTCCCGGGTTTTCTTTTGTCTGTTTCTGCCGTTTCAGGATTTCACCTCTTCGTAGTCTTGGTCAGTGGAGAGTTCTACATCAGACAGTCCCACTTCCAGTGCCATAATCAACGAGATGTCGGAGTCGCTGCTCACAACAGCTGGCTCTTGATCACCTGTAGGAACAAGGCACAGCTTATGGTCAACATCAAGCTAAACCTTTGGATGCTTCCTTTTAAGTATCGTCACTCCTGGTATTGTTTCTTTTTTTTAAAGACCTATTTTTCTGCTTTTAAATTACATGTGTGATGTGGATTCTCATGGGGGTAGGTGCCCATGGGTGCAGGTGCCCATGGACACCGGAGGCATTGGTTCCCCTGGAGTTATAAGTGATGTGAGCTTCCTGATGTCCATGCTGGCAGCTGAACTCATGTCCTACCGAGGTGCAGTATGCACTGTAAGATACTGAGCCAGAATCTCTCCATCCTATCCACTAGCATTTCTTTAAAAGCTGTGAGAAAGTCTTAGGAAAAATTGTGTGTTCTGTAAAAAATAACTCCGATTCAAACCTCACCTCAAAAAACGCAGCCACAGACAGATTCTAAATGGGTGAGAAAGTTAAACGGAATGCCTGTAATCTCGACACTGGGGAGGTCTAGGCAGAAGGACTGAGTTGGAGGCTAGCCCAGGCTGCTTGGCGAGACCCTGCCTCCAAAGAGGAGAACCAAATGAGGAGCAGCCCAACATTCCCGCGATGCTAATACAGACTGCAGGCTCCCCAGGACCCAGGATCATCTAGGAGACACACCTCTATGGGGGGGGATGGAACCCAGATGCCCATGCTTGCCAGCTCCTCGGTCTCAGGACTGTGTTCTTACCCCAGCAACCGCTGTAAAGTCACTAAGAAAGATGGTGCCGCAGAAAAACAGGCTCAGGGAAGTGTAACACGGGTGCCCAATGAGGAGAAGTAGGAGGAAGGGCTCCTTTCTGCAGTGTAAGCTTCACTCTTAGAAAAAGACAATGTAGTGGTGAAGAGTGTACTGAGATGTTTATGTTGGAGCATTGCAGATAGAAAACAAGGCTTAGTATTTGTACATCTTCAATATGGCACATTATGGCAACCTAATATGTGTACATAGAATATAATAATCAAAGTAATAAATGTTTCTATGTCTTCAAACATGAATCCTTTTCATATCTGGAGATTCTTATTCCCATACTCATTTTGTAATATATCACATATTGTTCTAACTAATCGTCACCCCGGTCTATTTTAAGAAATCCAGAACTGATTTCTCCAGCGTGACTATGGAACCCTTATTAAAATTCTTTCCATCTCCCCTCCCACTACCCTTCCCAGTCCCCAGAGAGCTTTATCCCATTTCATTCTTCCATTAGAGTTGTAAAATTTTCACCTAATAATTTTATTTTCAGAATGCACTAAGGAGCAATAATTACAAGTGCAAAAATGTTTACTTCAGCATTATTTATAGTATTAAAACTTGTCAAGCAACAAGGTCCATAACAGAAAGTATCTCAAAAACAGTGTCACTCCTAATGGACACTGTTCCTATAACCATCTCAGCAGAATGTTCCAAGAGTTTGTAGATGCATAAATAGACATTTAATGCTGTTTCCAGCTTAACAATATATTGGTAAATGAAAACAGAAGCAAGCACTCAAAGAGTGTATGTTGCAAGGCTGCTGTGAGAAAACAAGGAGCTAAAAATGTTAACAGGAAGAAGTATTCATGCTTTGGGCACCTCTCTCTCTCTCTTGGGACAAGGTCTTACTCTGTAGCCTAGCTTTAGGATCTATATTGATTTTTGTTTCAAGATGTAGTTTTTCCTTTCTTTCCTTTTTTTTCTGGATCTATTTCCAAATACTCAGGGATGAGTACTCATCCCACATTCATTCAAGATGTATTAATTGACTCCCTACTATAAGCTAATAATTGGGTGGCTGCTATGCATGTGAGAACAAGAAGACTCAAGGCTTCAAGGAGCCTACCCTCCAGCAGGCTGACAGACCAGTAGAGCGTTGGCTCTGGTGGGAGATGGGCCAGGTATGGTAGGAGCAGGGGAAGAGGCTGTGTAACCATATGCTGGGCCAAAGAAGGTGTGTGCCATGGGTACAATGTCCAGACCGAGTCCTAAGGACGAGCTGTGCTTTAGCCAGATGAGAAAATGGAATAAGCTTTTAAGTAGCAGTCACAGAGCACAGATGGCTGGAAGCAGTAGGGACTCCTGGGGCAGGCAGACATCAGCAGACATTTAAATATGACTGGAATGCACAGCCAGGAGAGGGAGCAGGCTGGGGGAGGCTCGAGATCAGCCTGAAGGCAGCTGTAATCCAGGGTCTCATACTTTCTACCCCCTGCTGAAGAATCATGCAATTAAAGACCAATAAAGTAGTCTACCCAATAAAGGCTGAGGGCAGTTGTTATACTTTTGCTTTGGCTGATACCGACGTTATTTTTCGTGTTGAGGACAGTTGAGGGAAATATGTGTGTTTAACAGAGAGTAGAGAATTCCTAAGACACTGTATTTCTACTTTTGTCAAGTCTTGCGGATCTCATATCATGCATCCAGATCTCACCTACTTCCCCGGCTCCTCGTGTCCACCCTACCCTTGCAACATGACCTCCCTCAACCAAATTTAAAAGAAAAACCAAACCAAAGAGACAAAACAAACCCAAAAGACCAAAAGGAAAAAGAAAAAAAAAGGGAGATGAATCTTGTGGAAGCTGTAGCGAGTTCTGTTGAGGCACAGAGTTTGCCCTTTGGTCTGTTCGTCTTTTCTAGAAGCCTTCCTGTTTTGTTTAATTCTTCGTGCCCTTCACATCAAGCATCTCAACCCCACTCATTTCCTGTCCCTTCATATCCTCCCTCTGCCCTTGCAACCTCCTCCCCAAAATAAAACAAAATTTAAGAGAGAGAAAAAAGAAAGACGAAAGAAAAGCAAAACAAATGAAAATATCTCTCCATGGAAGCTTTGGTGTGACCCATTGAGTCACTCAATAAATCCTTTTATCCATATGTTCACCTGCAAGTGTTCATTACAAAGAGTCCCTGGTCTGGTTGGAGGCCTCTGGTTTCTGCTCCACTATGGCTGCGGGACCCTCCCTAGCATTCTTCTTACCTATCCGACTGTTGCCCTGTGTTGTGGAGATCCTGCAGCTTTGGCTCTGCAGGACTGGCTCTTGGATCCTCAGATCCAGGTTCCCCCACTAAACGGGGCCAGCTCTACTGTTTTGCCCAGGAAAGGTGCAGGGCCCACGCTCCTGTGTGCTGCATCTGGTGAGGAGCAGTTTTTGCACTCTCCTGACTTGACCCCACGGCCTGCTGCAGGTAGCAAGAGGAAGAGGATGGGGGGGCATCTTTCCCTTGCCTGTGCCACTGCCTGGCAGAAAGGGGTGGGGTGGGGTTCTAAGACACCTAGAGACAAAGAGAAGTAAGAGTTGTGCCCTGAGGAGTCAGTCTTAGGCTTTTTCATGTGGATCATCCCACCTGAAGATCGTGCTCTGACATGCTCCAAATCCGTACATGCGTGGAGCTCTCAGTGACGCAACAGACCCGTGGCTAGCTCACCACTCTGAGGGCATCTCTGGGAAATGCAAATATTTAGTATTTGAGGTGGTGGCATTCACTGAATTCTATATATAAAACAAAGAGAGACTGGATGCTGGCCTCCTACTTCACAGCAGACACTTGGCCAGCCAGCCACCTACACACACCTTCCACGCTTACTCTGCGTATGAACGTCATTTCCGCTCTAGAGTCACATGACTTGTGTCCCTGCCTGGGGCACTCACAGGTACAAACCGGACAAACCTCCTTTTCCAGGACTGCTTCATCCTGGCTGTCCCAGCCTGTACTGTGCTCCCCTGCTGGGGAAGCTTCACCTCTGCAGGCCTCTCTGAGAGCCTTTGTTCCTGCAGTGGGGCAGGTCACAAACCAGCCAGATCCACCATTGAGCACTCATTCACTCTTCCAACCGGCTCGAATTTTGCTAATGTCTTTTCTTTGATTTACCCTATACATGTCAGATCCCGTGTTTAATTAAGAAGTCTTTGCTATAGTTTTGGTGAGGTTTCAGGAGAGACTGGAAATAGCATCATGTGTTTAACCCACTCCTCTTACCCAGTGCTTTCCTGAAACACTTCACAATGACGATGGGATATAGACATTTAAAACTGCATTGATTAGCTGGGTGTGTCAGTACCCCCGCCCTGGAATCCCAGCAGATGAGAGGTGGAGGCAGGAGAATCAGGAGTTTGAGGTTATTGCTGGCTGTATAGTGAGCTTGAAGCCAGCGTCAGTTGTGAGACCCTACCTCAAAACTGTGTCTGTTTCTGTATCCATCTAGGAGAACTGGGACTCTAGCTTACTTTAGGCGATATTCTAGTTTAGCTATTACCAATTACTTGTGCTGCTTTGTATAACTCATCTTCATCCTTCAGGACTAATGTTTAATTGACCATTAAATGAGAATTTGGGCTGAAAATAGTCTTTTCTAGCTGTTTTATATACATTGATGGCAATCTAACCCCGTGTTCCATACACAATGGATTATCATTTAACAGAACCACTAGCGAGAAAGAAGCAAGTCCAAATGTTAAAGGTATACTCAGCTTTTCCAGTCACCTCTTTCTTCCTCTGAAAGCCTTATCGCCTATGTGGTAAATGCGTGCACAGGTGTAGGAATCAGTTCTTAGAGGCGCAGTCTCCTTATTCTCAGAGACGAATCCAGAGGGGTTCAGCCATGGTGTGTGCTTGTCATCTGGGACCTGGTTATCCGGATAGAAGGATCTGGAATCTGAGCTCAACCTGAGCTACTCTGGATTCCCAACCCCCCACCTAGCAGCAACAAAGAGCCCTCTACAGGGAATTGTACCTCACCACCCCTCTTCCTCCCTCCCTGTAGTTTGACCTTGTGTATCCCCCAAAGGCTCAGATGTTACAGGCTTGAAGCCTCCACTTGGCACTGCCGGAAGGTGGGGAGACCTTGGAGAGGAGGGTGAATGGGGGTCTTAGATCCACAGGGGTGTGCCTCTGCAGGGCGACTGTTCAGCTTTCTCTCTGCCTGCGGGCTGTCTCTGGGCAGACAGGTCTCCTCCATTACCCCTGCTCTTCTGGCATGCTGTATGGTGCTGCTACAGGCCCAGGCCATGGAC